ACTCCTGTTCAAACTTTACCTTCTTCATATCCCCAGCTCCCCACAGGTCTTCTCTCTGGGCTTGGGAAAAGCTTAAAAGATGAAATGGGTACTTATGAAGAACTATGCACTTATGGTGTGCACCTGCTGTAGCTTCTCCTGAAGTAGTAAAAGGAACAGAAGACATTTTGAGAGATGAATCTTCGACTGTTCTAAGTGGTCTGCATATAGCTCCTGGAAGATAACTACATTTTCTCCCCTACACAGAAGCAGGAGTATCTCATGGACTTAGTTCCTCCTCAGACTCATTCTCTGCTAGGCCAAAAGCCATCCTTGTGCAGAAAGCTGTGTACCATTAGCTTCCTCATTTGGGGATTTAACTGCAGCTTCAGTGATATCCATCCTGTTCAAAGCTGTTATTCTTAGAGACTGAACATTTGCATTACTCGCTCTGATGCTAACATCCCTTCCACTGGGATGCTGAGGAACTTTCCTTGAACTTTAAACCAGCTTGACCAACTTGCAATATAAAATGCAACAAAAATGTAAAGTTCTTGATTCTGCTAATCTCAGAGTATCAGAATGGTAACATGTAGAGTTGACTTGACTCAGCCATAGATAGAGTTCTGCCTTCCCCATACCTTCCACCAAAAAAAAAGTTATGTTTCTGCAGTCATTTGAAAGTAAGCATTTTACCTAAAATTTTCCCATGGAATTTTATATATCCATGCCAAAGAAATCTGTAAAATAGTGTAGTCCCTCAGGAATGCTTCAGTACTCTGATTTGCCCTAAAGGAAGCAGACTTAGTGCTGCTCCATTATTACCGCTCTGGATTGGAATGCCATACTTGTCAATGAAGTATGGAAGTTTATGCTGCATAGGAAAATATTCTGTAACACACAGAAGACCTGTCACCTTACTGACCAACATTTCCTATGCATAAATTGTATTTCTGTAATTCTACAGATCATTAACTGAATCACAGAGTCACAGAATCATTAAGGTTGGAAGGGACCTCTAGAGATCATCTAGTCCAACCCCCTGCACACGCAGGGTCACCTAGAGCATGTGGCACAGGACTGCGTCCAAGCGGGTTTTGAAGATCTCAGCCAAGAGTTTCCAGGAAGAATCCCACAGATCTACACAAATGCTCTACAATTACTTACAGAAAGTGTCACAAACACCCTGCCCCAAGATATGGAAGGCATAGCTTGCTTTCAGGCAAGCACTGACTAGCAGGGCAACACATGCACTGCAGACGTATTAGACAAAGCCCAAAAGCCAAACCTCGCACGCACTTACAGAAGGAACATGCAACACAGACCCAAAGCTTTTCAAAAGCTTTACGGTTCTTCCCGTGTGATATGCAGCACAGTACACATGCACATGAATACTGGACACCTATAAACTGCAAACATGTAGCAACTAGGCTGAGGACAGCAGACCTGTCACTTTCTCCAGACGTACAGAACCAGCTCTGTAATATATGCAATATGAGATTTGTGAAGTCCTTGAATTCAACTTGGAAAAAATCATAGAATCCTTAAGGTTGGAAGAGACCTTTAGAGATCATCTAGTCCAACCCCGCTGCACACGCAGGGTCACCTATCTGCAGACTTAGTTAGACAGACAGACAGACAGGCAGATAGATTGAGAACATGTCCAGGAAAACAGCTAACAGCTAGCTCCTTGAATAACAGAGAAAGGTTAGAAGCTGTAGTCAAATTCAGACAACCCAGGCATGCTCATGTTTGTGCCAGCATGCTTGAGAAAGAAGCCAGATAAAGCTACAATTAATATAACCTAGTTTACATGTGCTTTATAAAAATATATTTGAAGACACTGTAAACAGATTTCAGGAGCGGCTTTGAAAACCACTGGCCAGAGCACCTCGAGGTGCTGACAGTGGGAGCTCTGCATCATGTGTATCTGATCTGGTCTGGGGCGCAGAAGGAGGAGGGGGCACAGTTCATCCATCATCTGCGTTCTTCACCCAGTGACAGTCAACAAATGCCCACATATGTCATGTCAGTATGGATATGAGTAGATAGCATAAAGCTGCTAAAGTAGGATGAATAAGGAGTTTGCCTTCTGCAAGAAAAAAAATATATACTCCTTTTTATTTACGGCATAAATATATAATTTTGTGCATCTATGTACTCTAAACAAGGTATAGATGTTTAAAGAATTAGTTTTTATGAAAAAATTGCATGAAGAATGCCTGCTGAA